CTAAAACTTTGCATATCGGTGTATTACTATTAAAAGCATATGCACATTTTTTTTCTACAATTTTCGATAATATTTGTTAGTTGATGTGCATGCAAAATTTATGTGCACAGGATATGTCTATGTACATAGGCCGGGAGTTATATTTTGTTTGGAAAGAGAAAAAAATGCAGAGGACGTTATAGATAGCTGGGTAGTATGAACGTTAGCCACCTTGTGCCGATTAGCTGGGCCTCAAGTTAATGGCTTCGGCCATGTCCATGTGACTGCTGGGTTGCAGGTCGGCCTGCTTGGCTTGGGCTGTCCCGGGCTTCCGGCTAATCGGCCAAGAATAAGTTCACCGGAGGTCCCTCAACTTAACATTGAGATTTTTCAAGATCCCTTAACCACAAAATCAGAAATGTGTACCTCTAAACTCACACAAACCGTGCACTCAAGGTCCTATGGCAGTATATATGGATGGTTTCACTAATGTGGTATCCTAGTTAGAAAAAAAAAATAAAAAAAAGTACGTAGGGCCTACATGTCAGCTGCACATTCTCTTTTCTTCCTTCTCTTCTCTTTTCTCTCTTCTCTTCTTCAGTGAGGGAGACCGGCGGCGGGCGGAGCCGTGATGGGCGAGCGCGGATGCGGGCAGCGGGCGGAGCGGCGATGGGCGAGGGCGGTCATGGTGACAGCGGTTTTCCCGGCGCTGCGGCGCCTGACGCACCGACAAGCATGTTGCCGGCATTGCTCTTGACCCCGCCGAGGAGCCAGATGTTGCCGTTGCTCCCGACGCCGTGCCTCATCATCCTCCACGCCTCCTTCCGCGTGTGGCCGGCCTCTGATCCCAAGCCTGGTCGAGCTGACGCCGTTGAGAGGTGGGACGCAGACAAGAAAGCCGGCAGTTAGGCAGCTTCATCGTCTAGCCCTAGCAGCGCGAACCTCTGCCACGCCAACGCATGCGAACGCGGAGGCTGTCCAGCGCTGGGACAGCAACAAGCGGCCGCTGAGCCGCGCGTCGTCGGCGGAGCTAGGACATGAGCGTCGGCAGCGGGAAGAGCAACTCCACAAGCCAAACGACGACGATGGTGAAGTCGCCGCCGGCGCTGCGGCTGGTCCGGCCTTCTTCACTTCGCGGGACCCGAGCATGCTTCCATGCCCACCTTCTTGTTGAAGAAGAGAAGAGAGAAGAGAGAAGAGATCTAAGGAGAAGAAAAGAGAACGTGCAGCTGACATATGGGCTCCACGTACTTTTTTTAATTTTTTTTCTGATTAGGATTCCACGTCAGCGAAACCACCCATATATATTTGTTGATGCGAAAAACACACGCTGGTCTGGAAGATCTGCTTAACTCCTGTGTAGGTCCAAAATCTTGTTTTTAGGTTCGTGAGCGTGCCAATTGATTTGATCCTACAATCAACAAGAATAAAAGACAAGAAAACGAGGTTAAATCCATAAACGATAGCCGATCGGCTATGAGCTAATGACATATCATCAATCACTAAGCCGATGATATTGGCATTAGATCGGCAACGAGAAACAAAGCAATATAAAACTAAATCTACTTGATCGGCTATAGATATTAACGATATATAATCTTTCTCTCGATGTATACTTAAACTAAGTGATTGGGATAGATCAAACGCCATGTCGAGACAGTATAAATCACTTAAGTCTAAATGTACATTAAGATTATGACTATATGAACGTTTATAGCATACCTGATCAGATAGATATAATATGTATCGGCTAATACTCCGATACCACTCTATATTAAGATATCAAAACAAGCAAAATGTATCAAACAGAAAGCCTAATATACTTTAATGCAATAAGATCTTAATATAAAGGGCAGATCTAGCATAACAGTCAAGTTTATAAGATAAAAGTAGCTAAATCAGGTAAGATCGGCTGAAACTCTGATACTATCTCTATTGATGATCATGAAACAGGCTAGATATCACAATTATAGATAGAACTTAATAGATCGAACTCAACCGATGTAGCATTAATCATAAAGATAACTGTAAGATCTAAACAAGATAATGAAAATCTTTAAGAGATGGTAGATACACGATATAATCTAGATTAATAACGAGATCTAACTCTATTGGCTACTTTCTGACAGTAAAACCAGTCGATTGCAAGTTATATAACACAACTAATAAAGATTATAAAGTGTATATGATAACTCGACGAATAACATAAACAAGATTAGAGTGTCATAAAGATGGAAGCACTAATCACGAGAATGCAAGCCATAGTGACAAGTTTACCTCTAGTTGAAGATCGAAACCGATGCAACTCAACCCGAAAGCAAGAACTCGTCGAAATAGAACGAAAGTAAAAGGGTGACGATGCACCGAAAGTGTTATTGAACTGTGTGTTGCTGTTTACATGGATTTGGGTCATATTTATACCCAAGATACGTGATATATCCTTGCCGGACACGACTCTTATCTCTAACAAACTCTAAGATACACATAAGTCTTTACGGCAGACTTTTGCCCAAACATATCTCTAAAAAAACTATTCAAAATATCCTAATTAATGGATGATACAATTGCCTTTCTAAGAGCTTTTCTCCATCGTGGCAATCCTTGTGAAGCACGTTGATCGATTCTAGAAGCAGTTTTACAACTATCTTCATCGGAATCGGCTGTATCGGCTGTCGAATGTATCGGCTGTCCTCTGTCCGGTCCATTTCAGCCGATGCATACTCTGTTCTTCGAATCTAACTCTTTGCCGAATCCACTTTGATTCCAATACCGAACCTGATTCATATCTTACCAAATTTGGTCGTTAATAATACTGCAATAGGACCTTGAGTACACAGTTTATGTGAGTTTAGGAGATACACATTTCTAGTTTTGTGGTTAAGGGACCACAAAAAATCTCACTGTTAAGTTGAGGGACCTTCGGTGAACTTATTCCAATCGGCCAGGTTGGGGCAGGTGAAAGGAGACCAGCCCATATAGCTAATAGACCTCCCCCCTCATGGCCAAAAAGGAATAAGTTCACTTTGGGTCCCTTTATTTGTCGTCCAGTCCAATTTTCGTCCCTTCGTTGCAAAACCTGGTACGACGGGTCCCCCAACTTACGGAACCATTTAAATAAGGGCCCTCGGCAGTATTGTGTCCGGTTTTGGCCGAGGTGGCGCCTACGTGGCTCATTTTGGCGCCCACATACACGCCAATGACACGTTGGACAAAGACCTAGTTAAAATTAGTCACGTAGGCGCCACCTCAGTTAAAACCGGACACAATACTGCGCACTGGCAGCCCTCTCGTTTTAAGCCTATGGCTAGTGCACACACAGACATACCACGTGCACCCGGCTCTCACCACGTGCAAACTTTGAAGGCCCATTTCGCCGTGTACTCTCAATCAAATAATACAAGTTGGATCCTTGCCCATTTCGTCTTGTACTCTCGTTCAAGTAAGGATACAAGTCTCTTGTCTCAAAGGAAAAAAAAATAAGAACAAGATAAGAAGCTTTCCTTAATTTTCCGTACTCGATCAAGTACTGTAGCTTAATTTGGTCCATGCAAATTAAAGTCCAGTCAAGTTCATGACCACACACATCTCAAGTGGCAAGCAGCACGCGATATGATGGATACTATTCCAAGTCAGTCTAAAACCATGCGCCCATTTTTGACGTGTGTACAAAAACGTGCGCCCTCTCCCGCACAATGTATTGGTCAGCAAATATAATCGTTAATCAAACTGGCACGTTAGCTGTAGTTACGCTTACGTACGTGGACGGGCCATCTGGTTAATTGGTTCATATTGCTCAGCGCTGAATCATATAGTAATTGCATTGCCACTTGACAACGCTGCAGGCCTATATGTCAAATACTATAACATATATCCTACGTTCCTATTACCTTCGTTTCAGCAATATCTTCATATAGATACATGGATACATGTTTAAATTCATAATGACACGTTCTATATTACTATATATTAGGACGGATGAAGTATTTTCTATATTTGTTGATTGGGGATATATAGACATCGTATCCTGTGTACCCACTCACCTTGGTGCATTCGTGCACTCACGCGACATGGGACCTTCAATCTCCATCGGACGGATGTAATGCAAAGGGACGTTTTTTCATAAAACCACCCGCACATACACGGGTAAATTTGTAAATAGACCCTTGATTCCTTTTGTCTTCCCGTGTTGGGTCCTTACCAAGATGTATTCCCCAAAATCTCTATCTGACGTCAATGGCGGCTCAAATTAAGCCATGTTTGGCGACAGAGATATCACATCCAGAGCGCGGCGGCGCGGCCAGTGGCATGTCACGCCTCAAGGTGCGTGTGGTTGTCCAGCTTGTTGGAGAGGGACGATGCGCGGGCGAGCGTGTCCAGGGCGACGGCCATGGTGTTCGGCCGATGGAGCAGCTGCGGCGCAGTGTACCTGACTCTGTAGAGAGAAGAGTTCTTGCCCATGGGATGGAATGGATGAGTCTTTGCCCGGGGGTTGCAGATGTGTGCATCGATGGCATATCCGATCGGAATTTCTTGTTTGATTCGAAATTTTGGCATGCCATATATATCATGCAAAAGATCCTGAGGTTGAGATCATACATATCGTTGAGCAAGGATTTGACGGCTGCATGCTGGAATCTTGATTAATCTTAATTTCTAGCGGCCATCTCCGTCGAGCATTGTTTTATTTTTCAGAGATTCAAAGCTGCCATGGACGCCTCACAGAGGGGATAGATTTGGGGAAAGGGGTTGAACGGGAGACAAGAAGATGAATCGAAGGGTTATTTTGTAAAAAGAAGACTCTCTCATCTTATATCCGTCCGATGGAGATCGAAGGTCCCATGTCGCGTGAGTGCATGAGTGCACCAAGGTGAGCATGTGCACAGGATACGCTACCGGATATATATATCTATAGAAACCCCTCTGTTATTTCTTTTAGTGTAATTGCATTGATTCCATTCATGTAATCTTGTCCTGGAAGCTAAATAGGAGTATTTAATTGGAGATGGCCAGCACGATTGTTCTTTTTGAGCTCTGACTCAAATCAAATCCTCTTCCTGTTTCCTAGCTCTATATATAAACCCTACCATTCTCCTGTCTCTCTTCATCTCGTTCTTCCCACACACGCGCGCACACACACATCTTGTGTGAGACTTGTATGATCGATTGCTAGAGCTATTTCGATTCGTCACGTTATACGCATACGCGTTATTAGCTTAGTTCATTAGCTCAAGGTTAATTAATTAACGACATGGCTGCTCGGTCGTCGTCGTCGCCGGCGAAGACGACGACGACGCTGGCTTTGCTGTTGGTGGTCGCGGCGGCGGCCGCTGCTGTGGCGGCGGAGGCGGCGGCCGTGGCGGCGGACGCGGCGCGGGGCGTCCGGCAAGTGAACCGGCGGGGCCCGTACCTGGGCGTGGTGGTGCCCAACGGGTTCGAGATGGAGCCGCTCCTCCGCTCGCCGGCCTTCTCGCCGGCCAAGAAGCTGCCATACCTCGACGTCGCAGGTATACATACGAACTATATACATCACGCCTACATTAGTTAGTAAACGATGAGTAGGCACATAGGGATACAAGAGGGGCGGACAAGCGCGCTTTTTCCCCGCTTATCCCACTTCTAGTTTATTTTTTCTTCGTACTATATATCATGCAAAAAAAAATAGACTAGCATGCAAGCGGGTTTTTTTTTTGATAGTGGGACTACCCACTTGCATGCATGCCTATAGGCACACACTCGTGTACGCATACACGCATAAACTAATTAATTTGTACTCTGTTTCTTGGAATTACGCAAAATGTATAGTAACTAAAATAAAATTAGACACATTGTAAACTACAAATCTGAACATACCTATTGAGGAATCTAGACATACCTATCGGGACGAAGGTATTACCATACCCTTGTTTGATTATGTAATTCCTTTAGTGTAGATGCTTGCTTTTTTGGGAGTACTCCCCCAAAAACTCAGCGTTTGTTTTGGTAGAAGCTATAACCAATTAAAAAGTTTGCAACTCAAATATTTGCGTGAATGAAACCTGTAGATGTTTGAGTTGCATCAACACTTAACCCTATTACTATATATATGGTGAAAAGACATTATTATTCAACACTTAATCCTATTACTATATATCTCCATCTTAAAATTGGTGAAAACTTGCATGACCACCATCATTCTGGCACAGGAGCCTGAATGTTTGTACCTAGACAGTTAGCCGCTTCTTTTTTTTTTTTGAGAACCACAGTTAGCCGCTTGATGTTTGGAGGAATGGAAAACATAGGTAGACTGAAACATTCACTATAAAAAACGGATATACATGTCGATATTATAGGTCCCGGAATATCTCATATATAATCCTGTAAATTTTTTCACCCGATCAGATTTCGTTTAAAAAGTGAGAGATAGAACCATATATTTATGCAAGAATTAACAGGTTGCCAAATGCGAATGTCTGATAAATAAACCTTAATTAACGTCGTGTTTGAGAGAGGAAAGTGAGAATATTGAGAACATACGTAAAACGAGATGAGTCATTAGCTAACACATGACAAATTGAGTATTAATTATTTTAAACTTAAAAATATAGATTAATATTTTTTAAAAAAATAACTTTCGTATAACGTACCATTTCACGGTTTTGGGAAGGTTGTGCGAAAAAACATAGACTTTTCAATAGTTCTCTCGAGAGCAACCTAATTATACAACAAACACATCGGAAAAGTATGTCGTATTGTTCTTGATTGGATAATCGTGTAGGGAACGACTCTTCTGTACTCTATATCGAACAAACACGTAGCATGTACGATTTTTTATGTTGGATTAAAACTGCGGTCTGCGGACATACGTGTTGTAGATTTCTTCACGCATTTCCTTTTCCAAACAATCGCTTTACGAATTAATTCCATGTTGTTCAAACAAATCTTCTGCAAATGAACTACTACTAAAAGAATTGCACGTGATATCACTGCTGCATATATATGCTTATACAATATGAGTCAGAACCAGTGGGATTTGAGATCGTACTATATTTAATTTTCAAGAAGATAATACTCCACAAATAAGTAACGATGTTTTATAATAATACGTGTAGTCAACATATTTAAAAATTTTACCATTAATTTCTCTTTGAATATTTCAATTCAATTTTTTGAGAAGATATATCTAACACGCAAGTTACAAGGCAAATAAAAATTATACTATTGTTAAAAATGGGTTGAATACGTATGTTTATTTAATCCAAACCAATGGATGCATATAGGGATGTGCATGTATATTAGTCATCCCATACTTGCGCATGCACAATTAACACATACATTAAGGAAAAAAAAACACCCCTCATTCGATCGGTCAGTTGTGATTTATTCTCTACCATATTCAACTTGCTACACATGCATGTAACGTACGGTAGGATTATTTAAATGATTGATTACTGTGGGCGACGTCGTCAGGATCAGCTCAATCATTAATACTTGTAGCATAAAAAAAAACCAGCATAATACTGGATATGACATATTCTAATGCAATAAATTTAAACATACATGTGTTTAGATTCGTTATACTAAGATGTCACATCCAGTTTTAAATTATTTTTTAGACGAAGGAAGTATGTGTTAATTAGTATATCCACTTCAAAATATATGTTAACTTAGAACTAAAGAAACACGTTACAACAGTATCTAGATTACTCCCTACATTAAAAAAAAGACAAACCCTGATTTTCGTGTCCAACGTTTGACCGTCCGTCTTATTTGAAAAAAATATGAAAAAAATTAAAAAGACAAGTCACGCATAAAATATTAATCATGTTTTATCATCTAACACAAATGAAAATACAAATTATAAAAAAATTTTATTAAGACGGACAGTTAAAGTTGGACACGGAAATACAAGATTTGCCTTTTTTTAGACGGAGGAGTATTTGTATAGACTTTTATATGTCAAAAGATGAGAAGAGGAAGTATGTGTTAATTAGTATATCCACTTCAAAATATATGTTAACTTATGACTAAAGAAACACGTTAAAACAGTATCTAGATTACTCTCTACAACCAAAAAAAAAAAAAGACAAACCCTAATTTCCGTGCCCAACGTTTGACTTGTCCGTCTTATTTGAAAAAAATATGAAAAAAATTAAAAAGACAAGCCACACATAAAATATTAATCATGTTTTATCATCTAACACTAATGAAAATACGAATTATAAAAAAATTTTATTAAGACGGACAGTTAAAGTTGTACACGGAAATACATGGTTTGACTTTTTTTTAGACGGAGGAGTATTTGTATAGACTTTTATATGTCAAAAGATGAGAAGTTGACGACGTGTACCTACCTAGCTAGCCATGTGGCCAAGTTGCTAAGCTTTTACTACTACAGTACTACTCTTCTACTTCGTTTCCTCTACTAATCGTCGGGTTTAATTTCAACTCGTTTAGGCCATGCATGGCGTGTACGAACGCATACCATTGACCAGCTTGAAGATCAAACAGATTATGATAAGCTGTGTACGTACGTATATAAATGCAAGTAGTCACAACTGCTTGTTTGCGACTCTCTCACAATCTTGATGAATAAATTGATCGCCAGATTTACAAAATAAAATTAGTGGTTCATCACCATCAATTAGTAGTAGTAGTATCGATCTTTTTCTACGAGTAGTACATGAGTCGACGCACCTGCAGCATGGCTGTATATATGCTAACACGCACAGAGCTGCAAATGCCCCTTCAACCTAAACTCAAAAGATTACACAGACCAGCGAAATTAAACTTTTATTTAAACTTTGAACAAATTTGCATCAAAATCCACGAAAATTAAATTTTATTTTTAAATTTTCATCAAAATCCCAATTTGAATTGAAGAATTTCAAGTGGATCATAAATTTCCACATTACAGATTTTCTCTCCTTTTTTTTGCCAAGATTTTGAATTATGCACCAGGCTTGAGCTTAATTTATAGCCCAAACCAAGACTGCCAGCTGGGCTGCCTCAAACTCAGGCCCATTAGCACCCCCAAACCAATACCCATCAAGTTGTTCTTTCTGTAGTAGAAAAAAAAAAAACGACATCAATCAAGTTCGGTTAAATATTTTTCTCACCAAAACCACATGTCTTTCCATGTAGGAAGGAGATTTCGCTTCGGATCGATAGGAGAGAAGAAGGTGATCATCGTCATGACAGGCCTCGGCATGGTAAATACTTGTACACCTTCATTAATTTCATTACCTAATTAAGCCGTATACTTATACTACCTCTGTCTTTTAATAGATGACACTGCTAATTTTTTATCAATTTTTATCATTTGTTTTATTAAAAAAATTCACGTAATTATAATGTATTTTATTGTAAATTATTTTATCTCTTAAAGTACTTTAAGTACGAATTATATCTTATATATTTACATAAAACTTTTAATAAGACATGATAGAATTTAACGGCGTCATAACTATCATAGAGTAGATTGTGTCAATTACCTTAATTATTAATTCCATTGTGCCAACCTGATCAACTGCCGCGGCTTCATACGAACGCAGCTCAACTCCGGCGTGACCACCCAGCTCCTCCTCACCCTCTTCGACGTCGAGGGCATCGTCCACTTCGGCATCGCCGGCAACGCCGACCCCGACCTCCACATCGGCGACGTCACCGTCCCCCGCTACTGGGCGCACACCGGACTCTGGAACTGGCAGGTGAATGATTGATTAATTAATTTCATCAAATTTCATCCAAATCAAGAACAAATTGGTTTTGGTGATTTGATCGGTGTTCATTAATTAATTCGGACACAGCGGTACGGCGATGGGCCGGAGAAGGAGCTCGCGCTGGAGTCCAATGGCGACTACACGAGGAAGTACGGGGCGCTCAACTTCTCCGACTACGGCGTCGCCGGCGGCGGCGGCGGCAACCTGCTGAACGGCGTGTGGTACCAGCCGGAGGAGGTGTTCCCGGCGGACGGCACGCCGGAGTCTCGCCGCCACGAGTTCTGGGTCCCCGTCGACGGCCGGTACTACCAGCTCGCCCAGAAGCTGGAGGCGATGCCGCTGGAGCGCTGCGTCAACCGCACCGGGACGGCGACGTCGCCGGCGACGTGCCTGGCGCGGGCGCCGGCGGTGGCGCGCGTGGAGCGCGGGTGCAGCGCCAGCGTGTTCGTGGACAACGCGGCGTACAGGCAGTTCCTGCGGTCCAGGCTGGGCGTGACGCCGATCGACATGGAGTCGGCCGCCGTCGCGCTGGTGGCGGCGCAGCAGGGGGCGCCGTTCATCGCCATACGGTCGCTCTCCGACCTCGCCGGCGGCGGCTCCGCGGAGTCCAACGAGGCCGGCGTGTTCGCGGCGCTGGCGGCGCAGAACGCGGTGGCCGTCGCCGTCAAGTTCATATCGCTCTTAAGCTAAGAAGCTGTCTTAACCATCGTCGATGAAGGTTGAGAATGATAACCCTATAATGGTAATTAATTAGAAGTGTTACCTCGTGTGTTGTTCACGATAGACGTTATTGTTCTGATTAAACTTTATATTATTGACACATTTTTTAAAAAAGAAACAGTTAAATCAAAATGTATTTGCCCTGCCTTATGCAAAGTTTACAGTGAAATTTTTGAATGTATTTTCGTTGCATAGACCACGGTGCCTGACATGTCCTGTTGACCAAGCAAGACAGGCTCCGGACAATACACAAGCAGTGACCAGGCCAATCTACCAGAAGACAGCTGCGGCCTGCGACCCAGGTTTCCAAACCCTCGTGTCCATGGGCCGGAGTGGGCCAAATAGCTGAGCTGCAACAGGCTGGAAACCTGGGGAAAGGATGAACTCGAACTGGATTTTCTAGTGGAACAAGTCCCTCAATTTGTCGCCGAGTTTGCAGTTCATCCCTTAACTGAAATAAGGTCTGTCTCTCAACTCGGAAAACCATTACAAATAAGGTCTCAAGATGGTTTAAACGGCAGTTTTAGCTAACATAGCGTCTATGTGAATGGTTTGACTTGATCCTCATCCCATGTAGCGTTAATGTGGTATTAGAATCAAAATTTAAAAATTTAAATAAATATATGGGCCCATATGTTAGTCAAATAAAAACATACAAAAATAGTGTGTCCACTTCCTCCACCTCACCCATTCTCTCTCCTCTCTATCTCATCCTTCCCATCTCGCTGACAGCTTCAGCCCCACTGCTAGTCATTGTCTTGCTCCTCCGAATGGAAGTCCTGTGCACACCTGAGACCGACGCCGCCTGCTTCGCTCGATCCAGCCACGCGTTTTCTCTCCCTCAAAATTGATTGAATATGGAATTCCCTCGATCTCCCCTTCTTTCCCCAAAAAAAGCCCTAGAAATCTCGAATTAAATCTCGTGAATTTTGCTCCATTTCTATCCGGTGAACTCGAAAGCGACATGAACGGCACCCTAGCCTAGGCCCCGCGAAACACATCACGCGCCTTGTGGTGCCGCCCCTCGGTGACTAGTGTCTCGATGCCCGTGCAGAGGGAGGAGAGCGCGGCGGGACCCAGCTCCTTTCGCAGCCTATGGTGGTTTACAACGGGCTGCTCCTCCATCAGCCGCGAGAGATGCATGTAAGGCTTGAGGGCTTCTGCCGCCGACGACAACGAGGAGGAGGAGGCAGCAGAGGCGGTGGTGGTGGAGGTGGCCTTAGGAAAGTAGGCAGGGGAAGTGGAGGCGGGGGAAGCAGAGGGCGGCGAGATGCAGCTCCATGGATGGGAAGGAGATAGAGAGGAGAGAAGCAGTGAGGTCGAGGAAGTATGGGTCCAACTATATTTTTTATGTTTTTATTTTATTGACAAATAGGCCCATATATTTCATTTTAATTTTTTATTTTTTTAATGTCACGTGGGACAAGGATCAAGTCAAACCATCAACGTAGGTGTCAAGTCAGCTGAAACCGCAGTCCAAACCATCCTGGGAGCTTATTTGCAGTGGTTTTGGGAGTTGAGAGACGCATTCTGTCATGTTTTTCGGTTTAGGGATGAATTTCAGACTTGACGAATTGTGAGGAACCTCAAGTAAACTTATTCCTTTTCTAGTTAATCAAAGTGAATTCGTGAGAGAACCCAACATTAACATTGGCCTATCGTGTACAAGAATCGCTGGAATTGCTACAGTGTATGAATTAGCCATAGGTATTATCATAAGCCTCACCTATATTAAAAAAACTCATCAGCTCTCTTCAATATGTAGACCAAAGACATAATTTATCTGACATGTGGGCCCTGACACATTCTGTCTCCACTAGAATTGAACTCAATGGCTGGTATCTAGTATTTGGGGTGTGTTTAGTTCACGCTAAAATTGGAAGTTTGGTTTGAAATTGGAACAATGTGATGGAAAAGTTGGAAGTTTGTGTGTGTACGAAAGTTTTAATGTGATGAAAAAGTTAGAAGTTTGAAGAAAAATTTTGGAACTAAACTCAGCCTTGGTCAAGAATGGCTAGAAAAAACAACCCAATGTATGGGTATGACACTATCCTCTACTCTCTCCTCTAGTGGCTCTCCAAGTGCAACACAGCGAATGCAGTTGCCTACCTTTGGGTCATTAGAGTTGACTATACTCCCAACTAACAAGGAAGGATATAGTGTGAAGCCATCGTACCTCCATGTTCGCACACAAACACAAAAGAGACAAAAGAAATTGATTTAGTATTAAGGTAAAGCAAATCCAAGTATCCAACTCAAGAAGACGAGAAGAGACAGATCTCACTTCGAATGGAGAAGAGAAGTAAGGTTGCCTATGTAGCGGATCGCGGATAACCGGTGCTATAGCAAATGCTAAATTCCAATAGCCGCATTTAATTATCACACATATTTGAGTGTACATATCTTGAATAATAACTTCAAAAACATTAAGAAATCAACTGAGAAACAAATTAGTGATAGATCAATACACATATAACCTATGAGCATAAGTAAATATTTAGTAGCATTCGAAGATGTTGTTCTAACTAAAATTAAATTAAGAACCAAACATGCTATTCTACTCATTAGACGTTACAACTCATAATAATACAATGTTTTGGGACACAAAAACAACTAAGAAATTTGTCATTTGTTATATATGGGTTAGTGGTTATATAAAATAAGATCATTCTATAGTGACCCGCCAAATCCAAAATAGTGACCACTAAGTTGTAAGATAAGATGCTATATCAAGTCCACTACGTCACAATGGTAGCAGCAGGGGGCCACTACCGCTGTAGCCGATGGTCGAGAGACCAAGGGCGGAATCAACGCTTGCTTTGGTGGCGATGTTGGTTGGTTTGGCTGGTGGCTACAAGAGTCCAACTGCCCGTGTGTTCCTGCAACTGATTTCCCTATTAAGAATAAATTGATATTCATGGCTAAAAGGATATAAAAAAGCTAAAGAAATTGATTACATCGATACGAAATCATAGCAGTACTACTTGAATAATACTATGTCCTTGTATTTTTCTTTTTTCTTTTTGTGAAATACAATAATTGTATAACATGGCAATACGCCAATACGTTAAACTATTTGGCACAAAATCAGAATTGTAGAATTAGAGTTTTTAATGTTGCAAAGGTTAGCCATTTTTCTTTTTGTTGCCATAACTCATTTATGTTGGAACAAAACTATAAAGTACTTTTTTCCAAAAAAAAAAAAGACTAATTACTCCAAAAAATTGTACTAATACAACACTATATTGTTCAACAAATTGTACTAATTACTCCAAAAAACTAAAACTTTGGCAACAGTATAAATTATTGCCACAATGTTGAAAACTTTGGGGGGGAACACTTCAATTTTCTTGAAGTGAATGTCATGGAGAAATGCATTAGGAATGTAGTCCATATTGTTGGAATAATATATTTATGTGGTCAGTACCATGTTACTCCCTCCATCCCATAATATAAAGTATTATTCCCTTTTATGTAAGTTTAAGGATAGCAAGAAAATACTAGAATGCCCTTATTAAATGATACTCCATCCGTCCCATAATATAAGAAATTTTGAGTTTTTGTTTGTATTGTTTGACCAGTCATCTTATTTAAAAAATTTGTGCAAATATAAAAGACAAAAAGTTGTGTTTAAAGTATTTTGGATAATAAAGTAAGTCAAAAAAAAATAATTCCAAAATTTTTTGAATAAGACGAGTAATCAAACAGTGCAAACAAAAACTTTTTTAAAATCCCATATATTGTGGGACGGAGGGAGTATTTGCTTATAGGTGAGTGGGTAGATGAGGGTTAAAATAGGTAAAAATTTAAATTGGAGTTGATGGATGTGATAAGTAGTACACTAAAATCCCTTATATCGTGGGACAACTAGATGGGGGCAAAATCCCTTATATTGTGGGACGGGGGGAGTAGCATATTTGAACTGTCCTAATTTATACCAAAATAACTTAAGCTCAAACATAATAAGGTCCTCTTTGTTTAGGCTTATAAGCCAATTTATAAGCCAAAAAGTCTAAGCCTAAACAAACAAGCAGCTAGGGGTGGATGTCGAGCTGGCTCGGCTCGGCTCGGCTCGGTCTGGCTCGTTAGGATAACGAGCTAGCTCTAGAAACCCAGCTCAGCTCGGCTCGTTTGAAAGCTCGAGCCAGCTCGTTAGGCTCGTGAGCTTTGGGGACAAGAGAGAAAGCGAACAAGGGGAGGAGCCGAGGAGGGGCGCCGGGGAGGAGCGGCGCGGCCAGCGGCGTCCACGACGGTGTCGGCGCCGGGGAGGACCGGCGCGGGCGGCGGCGTCCACGGCTGGTTGCGTCAGCGCCGGGGAGGAGCGGCGCGAGCGGCGGCGTCCACGGCAGCGTCGGTGCCGGGGAGGAGCGGCGCGGGCGGCGGTGTCCACGGCCGGCCGCGTCGGCGCCGGGGAGGAGAGGCGCGGGCGGCGGCGGCGGCGGCGGCGGGAAGGAGCGGCGCGGGCGGCGGCGTCCACGGCCGGCGGCGTCGGCGCCGGGGAGGAGAGGCGGGGACGGCGGCGTCGGCGCCGGGGAGGATAGGCGCGGGCGAGCGGCAGCCATGAGGCCGGCGGTGGCTTGGGTGGGGATTGAGGATGGGGACAAGCCAGAAGGGGATTGACTCTAGGGTTTTCACAAGGTGATGGGCTGGGTGATGGGCTGTTGGGCTGGGCTAGGCGCCTGGGCCTCATCTGCTCTGGCTCGTTAAGGCTCGCGAGCCAGCTCGAGCTGGCTCGTTATCTCTAACGAGCTGAAATGCCAGATCGGCTTGTTAGGAAATTCAAACGAGCTGAGCCGAGCCGAGCCGAGCCTGTCACGAGCCGAGCGAGTTAACGAGCCACGAGCTTCCTGTCCACCCCTACAAGCAGCCTTTTCGTTTGGCTTTTTTGAAGCTATAAGCCACTCTTACACTATTAAGCCAAAAGCTAGGTTGGAGAAGCTTTTTTGGCTTATCTGAGATAGATGTATGACTCCACCACTAAACTTAGGACATTAAATTCACTGGCTTATAAATCATATAAGCCAATAAGCTGACTTAAAAATCTAAGCCAATAAGACTAAGCCTAAACAAAGAGGGCCTAAAGCTTCACACACCAAGACAGTCCATACAACTTGATAAGGTATAAGCCTATAAGGTATGCATTCCATAACAGTCCGAACAATTTAACAAGGTTTGCTGTTTACCATAATTCTCTATACGACTTCAACATGGTTCGCAAAACATAATAGTCCGTAACAACAATAATAGACATACGAGGTCAACCCGAGCTATTAAATCGTCGAGTGACGATCTCCTCCTGCAAGCTCTTGTAATATTGTTGTTGTAGCCCAGACATGGCACTAATATCCATAGTCATAATCCTCTCTTCTTCTAACATTCTTTTCAAATCTATCTCCTTGGTCTTCAATTCTAATTCTTTGCTCCTCATCTCAAGATTTTTTGTCTCGTTTGCAACCTTCGCTTGTTCTAGTGCAACCTTCTCTTGCTCTAGGGCATGTGATTGTATATATCTCTCATCTTTCTTGAGCTCTTTCTCCACATCTGCCTCTTTCTTCTTTGCCAACAAATCATCTAAATCCTCCACAAAGACCACATCTCCACCTCGTCGTAGTTTTTCTTTCTCCCCCTTCCTATTTTCTGGTCTCTCAGATAACTCACATCTTGGAGGAGCATTCCTACTTTCTGGTCTCTCAGATAACTCACATCTTGGAGGAGCATTAATACTTTCTGGAGTCTTCGATAACTCAAATCCTGGAGGAGGAGGAGGAGCAGCCGCAGTATCATCAGTAGTAGTAGTAGACATACCTAGACTTGAATTGTTGGTTATCTTCTGTTTTTTGTGAGATGGCAGCTGAGACGACCTATCAATCCATTTTTGCTGGTTTCTCAAGAGATTCCAACAGTGCATCATGTGAAATGGCCTATGGTTCTCATCTTCGGCCTTGTACAGAGCACATGCATGCATAATCTGCACATATCAAAATGTCATATTAAATGTCTAGTCACTATATGAAAAATGAGGAACTAGTTTTAAGGACATATGAGCAAACCTTATCTTGACTTGAAACCCAGCTTTGCTTTCTATCCCCAATCCGGCTTAGACAACCCTCGAACTTGGTCACATTCTCTTGAATAGTAGACCAGCGGTGCATGAGGGAATTTTGAGAACGGTCTGAGGTGAAGTCCTTGTTTGCGTGGAAGTAATCGTAAATTCTCTTCCAGTATGCACAACGAGATTGTTCGATGCCTTGGACTACATCCTTACTAACATTCAACCATGCCGAAACCAACCCTTCGTCTTCCTTCCCGCTGAAATTCTTTGTTCTTTTCTGGTTTCGTCTCACGACAACAACTTCTTCGACCGTTGAATGTTGCTCCTCGGGTGGACTAGCCCCCATCATGGTGCCATCATCCCACTCTGGCGAGTTGATTTTAACAACCAGTGAGTTAACATAACAACTGTCTCCATCCATCGCTACTGTTGAATTTATAACAAAAAATGGCATATGTTCAGTCTATAGAGTGTTGTACAAAAATAGAATGTAGCACATATTTTTCATGCAACAGTCATTTCAGTAAAAAGTTCAGAGAACGCACATCCTCAATGTACTAAAAAAAATCAGGTCAGCATTTCAATCACGCACCAATGCCAGCTTCCTTTCTCCACCTAAAATCAGCATTAGTTTCAATCAGATCAACTGATCCAGTGCACAAGCACATACAAAAATTCCCAACTCAGCATATCAAATTTATCAATAAATAAACATTTCATCTTGGCAGCCGGGAGCACATATCAATAAATAAAGAGCCAATTCATCTTGGCAGCTGGGCGGGGGATTACCTCCGCTTCCAATGGCGCGCGGGCGGTGATCGACCTGCGCCGGCTGCGGCCGAATTTAGAGCCAGGCCGCCGGAACTAGGGCAGAAGGCCTAAGGAGGCAAAGGGGTCGGCCTCCGGGCGGCGGGGACGACGTCCGGTGCCCGAGGATGGAGGCGGAGGCGAGCCGACGGCCGGGCCACGGCGGCGGCGGGCGGCGGCGCCGGCGCAGCGGAGGGAGATGCGGATTGGGAGTTGGTTTTGGGGCTCGCCACAACTAGCGAGGATGGAGCCTTATCGTTTTAACCCTAAATCTCTAAATTTAGCCAGCTCGAGTTGGGCTTGGACCGGCCCGTTCGAAATTGGGCCGGCCCATTAGGTGGATGGGCCCACTTTCAGGCCGACCAGATAGTGAGATAGGCTTGGTCATCACCATTCCTCGACCAGCTCACGCAAAAACCCCCCGAAACCTCGAAACCCTAGATCGCCATATGGCCTCCTCCGCCGCCGCCGCCTTCTACCGCGACAGGGAGGACGCGGCGCCGCCGTCGTCCGGCCCCGGGGGAGGCGGCGCCATGGCGGCGTACGACCCGAGCTACGTGCCGGACTCGGTGAAGACGTTCGTGTCGCACCTCTACCGCCACATCCGCGACCGCAACGTGTACGAGACGCACCAGATGTACGAGGGCGGGTTCACCCGCCTCTCCGACCGCCACTTCCGCGACACGCCGTGGCCGCCGGCGGAGGCCGTGGCGGCGCACTGCGACGGCGACCACGTCTTCCTCCTCCTCTACCGGGAGCTCTGGTTCCGCCACGCCCACGCCCGCGTCCAGGGCCTCACCCCGGCGCAGCGCGCCGAGTCGTGGGACAACTACTGCTCCCTCTTCAGCGTCGTCCTCCAGGGCGTCGTCAACATGCAGCTCCCCAACCAGTGGCTCTGGGACATGGTCGACGAGTTCGTCTACCAGTTCCAGAGCTTCTGCCAGTACCGCGCCAAGCTCAAGAACAAGACCCACGAGGAGATCGCCCTCCTCAAGCAGTACGACCAGGTCCTCTCATCTACCATCTCAATCTCCCTTTTGTTTTTACTATTATTATATCCATCGTTCATTCAGAGTAAATCAGTATGAGTTTCCACTGGTATAGTGGCATAGGTCCTCTATAATCTGAATCTCCCTTAGTTTTTATTAGTCCATCGTTCAGAGTAAATCAGGAATCGTGTTGCGATTCGACGAGTTTCCATTGGTATGCTGGTGTTGCCTAATGAAGGGTAGGCTTGTTAATTCTGTTATTTATTTGGACTATGGTATTTATTATGAAGTAATATAATAGAGCTGGTTCTTGATTGCACATGTTAGTGATAGTCTCAATTTTCTTTGTGATTTGTAATTAAGGCGGAAGAGGTTGCTCTTGCTTGTGCTATGAGATTTGCATTGACATTAAATTTCCATTACGAGTTTATTTAGCAGTAGCCTCATTTATTTCACTGTTTGTTCAATGACATGTGCTGTGGAGGTCGTTTATCAGAGTTAGATTCAGGTTGGGTGCTCGGTATGATGAATCCTGGATCTGGATGGCTTAGCTTTGTTTTATGTATGAGTTTTCTGTTGATAGCTCTGTCATAATTAATCTGTTTATAATTTTACAGGCATGGAGTGTTTATGGGGTTCTTAATTACTTGAAAGCACTGGTGGAGAAGTCAATGATTGGAGAGATCCTGGAGAGGGAGAAGGTAGGGCTTGAACAGTTCACGGCAACTGATGGGTATGACTATGAGGGCGGGAGCAATGTGTTGAAGATGCTGGGGTACTACAGCATGATTGGGCTGCTCAGGGTGCATTGCCTTCTTGGGGATTACCATACTGGGCTCAAGTGCTTGGCTCCAATAGATATAAGCCAGCAGGGTGTCTACACCACTGTGATTGGAAGCCACATTTCCACTATTTATCACTATGGGTTTGCCAGCCTCATGATGCGCAGGTATGCGTTAAGCTAACTTGCCTGAGCATCTCTGTTTCCCATCTTTATTTCTATTTTCTTTATCTATCGTTTATTGTTCTACATCTAGAGTTTTGTTGTTGAAAAAAATCATATGCTTTCTCTAACCAAATAAGTCAATTGAGACTTGTTCACATGACTCATTTAGAGAGAAGAGTTGAGAAGGCAAGTATGACCTATATTTTGGATTTGATGGAGTATCTAGTGATATTTCAGCTATATAAATTCTGGGTTATCTTTTACTTTCCTACCCAGTATGGTACAGTATGAATGATTATCCTTCTTTTGATACTTGTATGTGTACTTGTCTAGCATCATGCTATACTTGTTTTCTGCTGATGGGATATAAAATGCGTACCCTCACCCCTTTGGGTAACCAGTGATGGTCCACTTTCTGTGCCATATAATTGAACTTTTTTTGGTACCTCTTCAATCACTTCAGAATGACTCTTTCAACTCTTCTTTTAATATATATATATATATATATATATATATATATATATATATATATATATATATATATATATATATATATATATATATATAGTAAATTTGTTTGGTGCTCCATGGTGCCCGGGCACCATTGTTGAAATTGAGTATATACCCAATTCAAATGAGCATGAAACTTTTTCAATTATTTAGGTATTAATATTAACTACTTTACTAACTAGTTGAAAGCAAGTTTGAACTGAATTTGAACTTGTTTTTGTTAGATTTTGATTCTAGGTATATAGCATCCATACATATAATTAGTTAGGTATGTAATCATGGATTGTGAAATAAAGTTAAATTTGAGTTGTTTTGTTGATAGGTATAGGTATGAATCGAATTCTTATAACTAGGTATATACTCACAATTTGAAAATTTTGAAAAATTTGAGTGATTTTGTGCATTTGAAACCATGGTGCCCCCATATGAGTGTCCTATATATATATATATATATATATATATAAATTGCTTATGTTTACCATAATTGCAGGTGGTCCTATTATATAGTATATTACTCCTACTTTTAAGCTCTGCGTATGTGAACTAAATGTAACATTGCCGTTTAACATCATTTCATCTTATGGAATATGGCAAAAGCTTTCTGGGCAGTCCTTTTGTAGTCAATAGTGCTTATGCTGTTCTCTACTTAATAATGGTCCAAGAATCCAAGGTTGAGCTAAGCCCGACACTTCCCCTACTTACCTCTGATGAAGTACTTAGGATCATTTCTCTTTGATGCCAAAATTTGCCTTACTTAATATTGATAATGCTAACGGAGTTATTCGTTCATTTGGATTGTTACCAAAATTTGTTATTGCTTATTGCAACCTTACCAAAAATTTGGATTTTCCAACATTTAGGTAGTCCTGTTGACTGTGAACCCAAAAAAAAAAAAAAACTTTACTGTGAAGCATGCTATTCTGTCCCATATGAGAACCTAATGCTTAATGGATGAATGGAGTCATGTTACTAGTTAGTTCACCATCATGAATTGTCCTGTCTGACTTCTTTTATCTGATAAACCATATTTCTGGATGGATTTCAGGTATATTGATGGTATACGTGAATTCAACAAAATTCTGTTGTATATCCTGAAGTGTAAGCAATACCACCAGAATTCCCCCCAGTATGACCAGCTACTTAAGAAGAATGAGCAGATGTATGCACTATTGGCGATCTGCCTCTCATTGTGTCCACAGGACAAGCTCATAGATGAAAACGTTGGCACTCAGCTGAAGGAAAAGTATGGGGACAAAATGACAAAGATGCATAGGTATGATGATGAGGCATATGCTATTTATGATGAACTCTTTTCCTATGCCTGCCCCAAGTTCATTACTGCGTCGCCTCCAGTTCTACGAGAGCCATACACAAACTACAACCAGGTATTACTTAAAGTAAAGATTGGGGTGGTCTTTTTTATGCTTTTTTTGAAACTATACTACACCCTTAATTGGGCTAGGACCAAAGCATTCTAGGTGTATCAAATTGTCTGTAATATCTCAAGTGATGTAGGAGTTTTATTTTTTTGAATTATTGTTTGTTTGTGCCTTACTGCCTTATATTGTTGAAATGACAATTGAGCAGCTGAACGTTGAGGTTCATTTTACTATTTCCCTTGTTATGCATTAACATTACAATTTGCGGAAGTTGCATGTCAGTTACTTTGAGTATCTTTACTTAGCATCTTATGTGACACCTGAAATGCACATCTTTGGGTCCATGGCGTATCTAGTATTTTTATATGGGTGGTCCAAGTTATATATATATATATATATATATATATATATATATATATATATATATATATATATATATATATATATATATATATATAACAAGGTTAGAAGTATAAATGGATTAAATGTACATCACAATATATTAATAATGGAGTTATTTTTTTTTCTTTTTCCACAAGTTTCTTTTCACATATGTATATATGCATTGGGCTAGGGTTTTTCTTGGGTGGTCCCGGGACCACCCCCTAGATCCCGCCTATGCTTTGGGTATCTACTTGCTCAGACATTACTACTAAATTCTGATAATCCAATAATGCAGTATCAGTGATATTCTTTTTGTTCAGTTCTACCATGCACTTGGTTATGAAAACATAGTTTTTATTTTAATACTGTTTATTTCAAGTTTTTTTGTGAGTTTCACTTGTCAAAAAGCAGGCTTTATTTTTCTTGTATCCACACCAAATTATTTAACTATGTATCATTCAACAGGATGCTTATCGTCTTCAGTTGAAACTATTTCTTTATGAAGTGAAACAACAACAGTTGCTCTCTGGTATTCGAAGCTATCTCAAGTTGTATTCAACGATAACAATTGGTAAACTTGCCAAATACATGGATGTGGATGAGGTTACACTAAGGTCTGTGTATTTTTAATATAATATTTTACTGCTAATACTTGACTTTTCTCATTCATGATAACATAATTGTTATATGATGGCAGGACAATTCTTATGACATACAAGCACAAAATGCATTCAATCGACAGTGACGGAAAGGTCATATCCAGTGCAGACTTTGACTTCTATATTGATGAGGTAGGATAATTAATTTTTACGTCATCTCCTTGCTAACTATGGAATTTATTTGTACCGATCCTCACATTCATGTGTGAGAAAAAGAATGGTTTGTCTTATGTTTTCCTATAAATTTGCTTGGTAGTAGCACTATTATGGCTCGTTTGATTCCTCGTATCGTCTTTGTCTTGGCTTAGTGCATGCAGCAACCACTTGTTTGGTTTCCTGCAGAGGTCAGTGGACCTATCCCTCTGTGCGCAAAAAGTAGTGGGAGCCTGGCCATGAGGAAACAAGTTCCAGAATCATTTCTTATTGGCCTGGTTGCTTGAGTCAAGAAAGAGCTGCCTATATGCAGTGTCCTCTCAAGATGTTCCATGAGAGAAGTGACATATGCATGAAACCAAACAATTTCTGTGGTAGACTGGCCAAATAAACTCAGCTGACCAAACAAATCAAAATCTATGTTGGAAACCAGTCCATCTGAGGCAGGCTTGGTGTGTCCAGACAGGTCATCCAGCATACAGGGAACCAGACTCACCCATACTGTTTAGATCTCCTGTTGATGACTAAATGCTTGGAGAAAATAGTGTTCATTTTAACGTATTCTTGAAACATTATCTCCTTGCTTTGTGTTTTTATGATAACTTTTTTGTGTGTGCTTTTTAATTTGAAACCTTCTGCGCTTCAAGCGCTATTATTGTTTAGATTTCCTGATGGCGATTAAATGCTTGGAGAATATAATTTTTGTTTTACATGTTCATGAAATATTATCTCCATGATTTGTGCTTTTAGTGAAAATATAAATTCCTTGTGTATGCTTTTGAACTCAAAACTTTCTGTACCTGGGGTTATGAATTTGACTAGTGTAATGATTATCAGTGGCTGAAATACTGCATGAATGACATGAAGTCCGTGTTTTTTTTTCCCACACTTCCTAGTATGGAACTTTAGACGTGTTACCTTACAAATGGAGTGATGTGACTTATTACAAATGACTATTCTATTTGACTCACCAAATCTTTTTGTATCCACACAGGACATTATTCATGTTGTTGAATCCAAGTTAACCAAGAACCATGGTGATTACTTTTTGAGACAGATTTTGAAGGTACCTGTAGATCTTTTTACAGCTTACCATGTTTACTTGGTCACACATGCGACATCATTTCGTTGGATGCACTTGTAGTTTTCTCATTTATACCCTATATAATGTATCATTTCTTTGTCATACTTTGCAGTTTGAGGAGATGATTACGCAGCTGGATAAAGTACAATTTGACTGAACCTGCTATCATCAGGGCTGAAGCTCTCCTTTGAGTTACAGTGGGACGCGCTGTTGGTGATGGATAGTAATGATAAATTTTTGTGCCATCCTTTTTTGATACATTGTTGACATGAGTTAAATCCTCGCTAAAAAGTACTCTAGGTGCTAACTATCGCATCCACTTGTCATGGCATGTTCTGGTTTGAAGAATGCCAACTTTAAATTGTTCTTGTCTTATCGTCAACCGTGCCATTACCTACCGTAACGTTGCAAAGTTGTAGCTGTATTCCTATGTTTCGGACTTGCAGAGTGCGGAATGTCGTTGCTTCCTATCTGCCTGAGCCTTATGAACTGAAATTCCCTATTCGAATTCTAGAATTATGGGTTGAAAACTTGAAATCCTAGAGTGTGTTGTTTCCCGTAGGGCGGTTCAGAACTTCAGATCTTTTCGAAACCGTACCCATTTTTTGTTTAACAGGAAAGAAAGTCACTGATCATTTGGATTGCTCCAAAAACAGTCCTAGTTAGGCTGAATTTGAAAAGGCCCGGACAATCAGCATTGTCGAACGAAGCCTTTGCGTGACCAAATCGTACAGGACTTTCTCTGGAGCAGTCCAATTGACCAGTACTTTCTTTCCTAGTATTAGTGAGCAAATTGAGCATCATCTAGGGTCCCTTTTTTATCTAATAGAGTGCTCACTTATAAATGTATATACCCCATCTTTGCGAGCATTTCTAAAAAACTAGACAATCATATCTTAAGATTAAAAAAAATCACTACAAGTGTATTGTTGATGATGGTTTATCACTAAAAGAATGTGGCCGTAAATGTGAATATCCGTGTAAAGTGTAAAATTTAGATTCTTCCGTGATGAGGAACTACGCTCACTTCATATCTTCAATGATCGTTTTGAAACTGTTACATTCCAATTCATCCGTCTCAATGAATACAGTTTTATCACAAACAAATTAACCGGCACTTGAGTAGCTAACTCGTTTAGACACTTCCATATCCATATGTGGTCCAAAATTATGAAGCTGATATGTTTTACGCCAGTTAAAATTTAACTGCCGTGACGAAATGCATGACGTATGTATTACGCACGCCCCAGCCCAGCAGCTGTTGAGTTCTTCTTATTATTTTTGTTCAGTTTCACGCGTCCATCTATTTGCATTGGTACTGCTGTCTCTGCCAGAGCGATTTGTTTCCTTCGATACGTTCCCTTCCTCAACTAATTGGATTAGATGTCTTTTATCCCTCTCATTTGTTGTATCAGCTCTTCGGTCCTCTGTCTCTGTCACCTGTGACCCTGAACATTTTGCTACTATTTTCACCGCACTTTTTGCACCTACACGCTCTCTCATTGTTCTTTTCTTTAACTATGGTTTACATGCACTGGTTGGGCTTGTTATTCTTTAATTTATTTGACTATGGTTTATAAAGGTTATTACATGGCAACTGCAGGTCATGGTTTCTTGTTTATCATCTCTCTCCAACTCATCGAAAATCCTAGGTAGTATGACAGTAACATGGAACATTTTGCTATTATTTTCACTGCAACTACATGCCTATTATTATTTTCCTCTTTACTATGGTTTACATGCGAACTGGTTGTGATTATGATTCTTTTTATTTAACTAATAACTATGGTTTACAACTTTCCATGGCAACTGCAGCCTGCAGGTGGTTTTTCCTTGTCCATTATCTTTCTCTCTATCTCATCCAAAATCCAAAGTATGGCCCTGATGATGGTACACTTTGAACCTTCTATAGAGACGAGATGGTACACCTCATCCAATTATGTTTCTGAAAGCAATTAATTTATTTCGTTCGTTATTGTGCTTCATTTTAGTTAATTAGGTTGGAACTCTTTTAGGCCCCTTTATTAGTACTGATATCCTCTAGAGGATATTTCCCCAACCATGTCTTTATCACTGAAATATTATTTAGCAACCTTACCCTAATTAAAGCTTTGCGACTATTTTCTTCGCTGCACATTTTGCACCTACTCACTCATGATTCTTCTTTTTAACTAGATGAATACCCCGCCACGTTGCTGCGGGAAATTAAATTACATAATATGTACAAATATGATGAAATATGATTATTAAAATTAAAACAAATTGATATACATATGAATTTTGAGCCTATAAATAATTGAGATTGCATGGTGTTATTAGAGAAGAAAGAAGAGACAATTTGAACTATGGATCTATCATCCAATGGTTAAAAATAATTGAGGTGATGTGGCTTATTGAGAGAAGAGAGAAATAGCGATAACTACACTTAGTGGGGATGAACTAGATAAGTATATAGGATTTGGTTTAGTTGCGTGTACCGAATATCTCATCATGGATTCAGGGCCAGTTTTCCTACGATTTGGAAGCCCTTGTGTGGGCTAGGATAATAATTTTTTCGATAATAGAAATCAATCATCCAGTCTTTGTACCGAGAAGTATCCAGCTAATAGAACAATGGTGGAATAATCTTTTTATTTTAGAACAGATCAATATATTCAATAGTGGAATAACTTCCCGAGAGAATATATGACGATGCTTGTAATCTTTACAGTCAAAAGAAAGATGTGTATGTACTAGCTAGGTTGATCTCTTCATCTTCATATTAACTATATGAACATTTCAGAGTCTTATCAGGGTTTAACAGTAAATCTAGGATGAAAAAAATCATGAATGTGCACCATATGTGTGTAAACAATTTCTGGCAGAATATTTTTTTTGAGCGAATACTTTCAGGTAGAATATTGACGGAACCAAAGAAAAACCCAAAAAGCTAAACTGCTGGACTCTTCAACTCAGCTAACTTTAGAGTTAATCCACACCAATTGGGGTCTCCTTTGAACTAAAAGAGTTTTGAAGAATTTTTACATGAATTAATTTAATTATTTGAAAATTCATATAAAATTTTGACGTAAAATGACTTCGCGAGAGCGACTTAATTTGAAGGAAATGAGGATGAGAGGGGAATATGGTGCCAACAGAACATTTTACTCCGCTGCTCGCAATTGGCGGGAAGAGTACATGTAGGACGAATTAATTGACTATATTGTAACAGAAAATGTTGCTCTTTCTTTTCATTTATGCTAGTACAGTGATTACTCTTAATTTGACACTGACGCATGAGCTATGTGTGAACAGCTGATAGCGAACCATATCTCAAAGAAAGACAATCTACACGGCTACATTCAATTAATCCAGTGCCCTGCATCTATCTAAGATGATCACCTTGCTACAAATAAATAAATAAATTTGCAATATATGCTACCAACCAAAAAAAAAATCCTATCACAAATGTAACAGCTTATGTAAAATATTGCTTTTCAAGATTTTCCTTAATCCTGCTACACCTCAATTCCATCATTACGTGGCCTATAGCTACCCTGAGATGTGGGCCAGAATAATTAGCGGCAGCCATACACAAAAGAGAATCACAATTAATTAAATCAATTAAACTGGAGTAACATGGCAACAACAACAGCATATAGGAACAAAATGTAGCTCACAAGCAGCTCGATCGAATCATCACTCGCCGGTCGCCACACGCAAACGCATGTATAACAAGAACAAGATCGAGAGAGAATACAGGTGAAAGAGAGAGATCCAGATTGGCAAGAAACGCAACGCGAATGAATTGTACACATGCAGAGGGCAGCGGATGGGAGGTCGCTGTCCGTGTCCGCGGAAGGAGGCCATGGAAGATTTGTGCGAAGTTTGCAAGCCAAAAAGCCGGAGGTATTGCAGGATTGTCCTCATCACAGCGTGAAAAAGCGAGCGACAACGATGGCCTCTGGCTGGCAGATGCCATCTCTCCATCCATCGATCCAATCTCTAATCTTTTTTTTCCCTCTTTCTCGCCTTTAATTTGTGGATCTAGTCTGAAGAGATGAGCTCGATCGATCTTGCGCTTTAATTTACTTGTGGCGACACCTAGTAACCGACCAGTGACGTGTGGGGGCATCGGGGGATTAATGGGGAGATTATTCAGTACCGTCTGCTAAACTGTCACCAATATGATATTAATAAATCCCTGAAACACCTCGCAGGAAAAACGTGCCATTTTTATAGCTTGATGCCTATGTGTATGTATATCTCATTTTCGGGCATTTAATTTTGGGCACTATGTAGGGAGGATTTGTTTTTTTTAAAAAATAATAGACTAAATGATTCTGGTACATAATTTAATTAACCTATTGATAATATATACTCCCTATACTTTTGAGTACAAATGTAACATAATGTGCGAAGTGAGCGTAACTCATTTGATTATATTTCTTTCTTTTTAGAAACAACTGATTAGGTTTCTTGCGGTGTAACTAACCCACCACATGTGCACACGGCTAATTATTCTTTTGCTGGTACGCGACATACTTGTGAAAAGCAAGACATCCGTGATGACTTTGTCAATCTCAAGATATATCGGCTCAGTCTTTCAGAAGTGCTCATAGGAGTAGGGTGTGCATGCGTGCGTTTATAGGGATGGGTGCATGCACGTTTGAACGCCTATGTTTGTACTATGTTCTTTTTTTTAAAAAAAAATCATAATGTGGTCTATGTACCAACTTAACATACATTTAAATACTACTTATTATTTAAAATTAATAGTTCTGGTGCAAGAACTTGATAAATGAGCCTTCTAGTATATCAACTTGGTAAGTTGGGTACAATTTCAACCTCAAATCCATAATACATAGGGAACAGGGAAAAAAATTCTGGCAAAAAAGAAAAAATAACCACCACCCATACACCGACATCAGCAACACATATAATGACGATAATCTACATGATATGTTTCCCAAGACTTGGTGGAAATTAATGTGTGCCACTTGTAATCTAGGCATTGCATGACAAATTAAATAATTTGGAGCACAATAAACGAAAGCAAGGCAAACTAGTAGTAATTACATATATACATGCTCTGTTGTAAGCATATAATATATATAATTTATCAAACACCACTTGAGAATTTTTTTCATGAATTTTGAAGGATTGAAGTCCTATGAGAATATTCCCTGTAAAGTCATTTGTATTGTAGGAATGTGTTCCAAAATCACTACATGATTTGTTTTCCATCGATCCCAAAACATTTGATGAAAGCCCATCTTTTACATTTTTCTCTGGAGCAACCAAAATCCTCTTTACCAAATTCTCATACATGTTTTTTTTATGTGAGATTCGGCTAGCTATATATATATGATGCTTAATTCCTTTATTGTTCCTATTTCTGTAATTTTTGCAATCTTGTGTTTGAAAGGAGCCATTAATTAATTTCTTATCACCTCCCTTTCATAATATAACTACATTTAGCATTAATTAT